AAGTCTCCACACCCAACCCAGAAAGCAGTAAGTTAAAAGGTTCCCACAACTCCTTCCCTCCTTCCCTTTTGCCTTCAGTTCTTCCTTCCCTTTTATGTTCCTTAGCAGTCAGCAGCAGAGGTGGATCCCACACACCCCACTGCTCCAGTCCTCTCCCAAAGGACCACTTGTCCACACTGTGGCCACTGCTCTAATACCCCAGTCCTTCCCAAATCAACAGACTGTATAAAGTCTCGTCTTGCCCTGGCATTCAGTTCTCCTCAGCTTGATCCTGACCCATCATCTAACACAAATGCTCCACAGAAACAAACAAAAAAAAAGCCCTGAAAGCCTGAAACACATTTGTTCACACTGCTTGGAATCCTACAAGGCCCTCCCCCCTACTTCTCAGAATCAAAGCAGTCACTCTCCACATTCACATGCCTGGACCCCAATGCAGGCTTACAGAACCAAACCCTGGCTAGGCATGTGCTTCCTGAGGTCACTCCACTACCCAGTTAGGATGCACTGCCCTAAATCAAGGCCAGACTTTCCACTCACTGAACTAAATGCAAACCTAGTGCCATTGCGACCACTCTCATCTCTGAAATCCAGAAGCAATTACCATCTGTACCACCCTGCTTCCAATTAATGCTAAAGCCTAGTTATGGTTGTCTATAATTGTCCTGACTTCTACATTGTATGATTCTTGAGTGCAAGAATTTAGTCTATTACTTCAAAGAGCATGACTTTTGTACACAGCAGTCTTTTTTTTTTTTTTATCCTCACCCGAGGATATTTTTCCATTTTTTGTACAGATAGAGTGGGAGGGAGAGAGAGGAAGGGAGAGAGAGAGAGAAACATCGACGTGAAGGGACACATCGAGTAGCTGCCTCCCACACGACCAACCAGGGCCGGGGACAAACTGCAACCGAAGTACGAGCCCTTAGCGGGAACCGAACCCGGGTCTCTCCAGACCGCAGGCCGACGCTCTAACTGCTGAGCCAAACTGGCCAGGGCCACAGCAGTCTTTTTTAAAACAAGCATAGAGAGTTTCTTATTTTTCTCATAAGTTTGGATGCAGAGCAGAAAAAGTGGGATGCCTCACTCAGGGTCACCCTTGATTCACTAAGAATTAAGGAGTATCCAGCAAAGCCCTCAGAAACCAAGGATACCACACTAAAAGCCACTGCACTGGGGATCTGCACTCTGTGTTCATCAGGTTCCATGGATGAGTCAGGCAAGACAACAGACACATACACAGGCAGTCAGTCCTCTAATTCTAAGCACTCGAGAAAAATCCAAGGCTGGGGATGAACAGCCAAAAACATTTCCACCAGTCAGTGATCATAAGCAGAAAAAACAGTTTTTTCACTAAAGGGGGGTGGGGGGGGCTAAGTGTAAGCCTTTAAATAGCTGCTTATTGAGGATATTTTTGGTATTAAGTCACACCACTCCAGCATCCGAAAAATTGATTTGTTTAACCTGAACAGAAAACAGCTCAAATATAATGCCAAAACTTTAGCCCCACACCACCACAAAATGCTTACTGCAGAGAAAGCCTTAGTGACTTGGGATCTTTCTTTCTCTTATTCTTCCTTTTTTCCCCCCTTTGGCTTAGTCGGTTTTTGTACGAAGCCATAAACATGATCTTCCCACATTTTTCCTGACCAGATGGGAGTTTGTCATGCCACTTGTCACCTAGCAACCTAAACACCACTCTACAGCTTCCCAGATACCCAATTCTTCATACAAAATTTATCTTGTTCTATTAAACAATAAGGGTAAGGAAGAGATAAAGAATAAAAGTTGAAACAAGTGTTAATATGTGTTGCTTCATAATTATTTTAAATAGAGTGGGAGAAATGGGAAGAAGTTTCATTGTAACCATTACCTGATAATGTGAGAGAAAAAAATACAAATAGACCTTAGAAGACACTCAGGCTCTTAAAATATTTGAGAGTCAACAGTCTTGTAATCCAATGACTGAACTTTATATACTGCAAAGCCCATCTTAAAATTCACCTACTAAACTATGAGTTGTACTTAAAAAGTATTTAAATAATTTTGCAAACCCCTGAATCACCTCTGACTCCTCCCTCTCATTTTATCCAACTCCAGTGCTACCATCATCCTGAGAATCTTTTCTTTTCCTTCCTTCCTTCCTTCCTTCCTTCCTTCCTTCCTTCCTTCCTTCCTTCCTTCTCTTACTTCCTTCTCTTCCTTCCCTTCTTTCCCAACCTGACAATATACTTTCCTTCAAAACTCAGTTCATGTGCCCCTTCTCATTGGGGTGCATTCCCAGACTCCCTCAAGAAAATTGCACTTACTTTCCCATGCTCCCAGGTCACTGTGAAGCAACCACCATTAATATTTTTTCAAAGGTCCAGATCTATCACCAAGGCCTCTCAACTCCACCTGGCAACATCTGGAGGCTTCCTTTTCTCCCCACTGCACGACATACCAGTCCACACCACTGGCTTCCTTCACTCGTAGGGCCATGGAGCTTCTTGTCATAGACTTTTATAGTCCAATTTCAAAGAAGCAACCAGTGGGTCCCCTAGACATCCAGCACCCAGAACAATGCCTTGAACATGGAGCAAATGCTTAAGATTGCTGAGGAACTAAAAAATGACTCAAACCACATTTGTATCTCTCAAACAGACTATTCAACCAATGTGCACTGTGTGCATAATGAAATATGACTAATTTTGCCCTGGCCGGTTTGGCTCAGCAGTTACACAGTCAGCCCACAGACCAAAGAGTCTTGAAATGTGTCTCTCACACAGATGTTTCTCTCTCTCTCCCCCTCCCACTCTATTAAAAAAAAAAATCAATGGAAAAATATCCTCAGGTGAGGATTTAAAAAAATATATGACTAGTTTTAAGCATGTAAATGTTTAATCATGTAAATGACTACTATAAGCATGTAAATTTCAAGTATGTAAGCAAGGAAATGTGAATCACCTTTCCCTACTCAGGAGCCTAGGCACACTGCAAAATATGTATTATTGTATTTCTCTTTCCTTTCATGATTTATTTTGTTGGGTTCCAGAAAACATGTGCGAGCTGATTACTGCTTTAGAACATTTAGATCATAAAGTGTCATTCACAAACAATCCTTTAAAATACTAAATGTCAGGGAACTATGTTCGGAGCTGTCTTTGAGTTCACTTAGACACAAGGAGTAAAGCTCACCCTCCTGAGTTAAAAAAAATTATGGATAAGAAGTTGTAGTTGAAATTAAATGGTGGCAGACATGTCCAAGGAATACTGCGGGGATTTGATCCCTTTATGAATCTTGTGATAGATGAATGTGTGGAGATGGCAACCAGTGGGCAACAGAACAACATTGGAATGGTGGTAATACGAGGAAATAGCACCATCATGTTAGAAGCCTTGGAACGAGTACAAAGAATGGCTGTGTTCACCAGAGAAATGAACTGCTTCCACATGTCCCCTCTCCACCTGTTTTACGACAATATAAAAATCAAATTGTGTCCATTTTCACATTGAATTTTTGTTAAATAAACTTTTGTATTGGTCAAAAAAAAATTAATCAATTAATTAAATAAATACTAAATGTCGGTGTGGAGGGTATTGTTACCTACTACACCACCACCACCACCACTACTCTCCCTCCATTGGCATTGCAAGATAAACAGGTGTCTACTTTCTGCTAAATCTATTTGATTTTCAGTAAGAATTCAACCAACTAATAAGGAACATTTTAGAGCTGTTAAATAAAGTCAGTATCTTCCATCATTGGGTCAGGTACCTAAACGTCTCCAAATTTATGCTATTTTCTCACTATATACTGAAAGCAAAAAATAATGTAAAAAGTTTTTTTTTTCCCTTAATTTCAGAGAAAATCGGGGGATGCCACCTGGAGCACCGCGTACACACTCAGGCTGACAAAGCTACCGTCCCTCTCACCTACTGCCCCAAAGCTCACAGAAGCCGGGCCACTTCACTATAGGGAATGGGAAATTTTTAAAGTGAATCTGCTTTCCTCCGAACTCTACTGCAAAGGAAATATCCTCGGGCACTTGAGAGAAAACTGGAGGCTGGGCTGTTGTCAGACAGAGCAGATAAAACAATTTAACAAAATGCCTTTTCACTTTTGACACATTGTACAGGAACGCAGGGAGACAATGTTATCATTCCACCAAGAAAAGGGGAAATCTACTCAACTCCGAAAACAGGCCCAGGCTCCGCAGCCTCGACACCATACGGAGCTAGTTCCAGATCAGTCCACGCTGAGGCCTTGGAGGAAAACTTTTAATTCAGTAACTGATTTCAGGCTTGTGCTTCACAAAGGAGTTCTGCCGCAGAGCCACTGAATCGCCGAGCACCTGAGCTGAGCCGCGCTCCCGAGCGGGTGGAGCGCGCGTCACTCCCCCAGCGGTCTACCCGACCGCGGGCCGGCGACCATCACCCAGCAGCCCGCAACACCCGGCCGCCCGCGCGGACAGGAAGGAAGGGCCCATCGCGGAGATCCTTCCCCGACGGAACCAGGGAGTGGAAGCAGCAGACACACAGCCACTCTCCGGCGTGTAAGGAATAATTAAGCTGTCCTTTCAACAAAAAAGTCGCCTCTCCCAGCTTCGCCGCGGGGCCTGGGAGTGGGGAGAGGCCTGGAGCTGGATTTCAACCGCTGCAGGCGGCCGGAGAGAGGCGGCCGCGCCGCGCGGGGTTCGACTCCGCTCCTCCGGCCGCTCCAGGGACGCCTGTCACCACGCCGGCCCCGCGGCTGGACCTCCGGGGAAAGGCGTCCGGCGTCCGACCCGGGGACGCGGCGTTCCGCGCGATCACCGGGGCTGCGTTCGCGGGCTCAGCCGCGCGGAGAACTTTGCGGCCCGCAGCCCGGGACTGGGGGCGCCGCGAGGCCCGCGCGGCCGCCGCACTTTCCCTTTCCCCGCCTCCCTCGTATTCCCTCCTCCCCTTCCCAGGAAGCGCCATATTGATCCCGGCGCCTACCACCCCCTGTAACCACCCCCCCGGCACCCCTAGCCCCTCACCTTGGCGATGGCCTTCCGGTAGCGGGTCACTGCTTGCTGGATGAGGCTGAAAACTTTCATGTGGCCGTCTCCGCACGGCACGACCACCCGGGTCCTTCCGAAACACACGGTCACTTTCATGCCGCCGCCGCCTCCGAGGCCGGCCCGCGCCCCTCGCTGACGGCGGCCGAGCAGCCCAGGCCAGGGGCTGAAGGCTGGCGCGGCGGGGCCGCTGTAGGGCGGGTGTCTAGAAGCACGGGCAGGCGACGCCGCGGAGCCACACGGCTCACATGCCCGGCCCGAGCCCCCTCACCTCCCGGGGTTCGCTTCGATTCTGCCGCCGCAGCGCCCGCGGATCAGGCCACCTGTTCAGCGTCTCGCGCGTTCGGCGGCGGCGGTGGTGGCCCGGGCGGTGCAGCGCTCGCGCTCCGGCGGCGGGGGAGGGGATGGCGGCCAGGGGAGGGAGGGAAGGAGGGACTGGGAGAGGGAGGGGAGGAGCGCAGGCACACAACACCGCGCACGTGCGTCGGAAGGCGGTGGCTGCCCGCGCGGGGCGGAGCGCGTCCCCTGGACCCCCGCCACTGCCCTACGTCTACCCCAGGTCCCCGCCAGCCGGGCGTGCTGCGGCTGCGCTCGCCCCCAGACCTCCGCCAGCCCTCCTCTAGGGTGCCCGCTCCGCGCCCCCGAGTCTCTCGGGAGCACCACCATCTTTTTTCTTTGTCACTTCTAATCCCTTTCCTTGGACTGGAGGGTTCCGGGTGAATTCGCTTCTTGAGAGAGCTGTTTACTCTTGGCGCCGAGATGTTTGGAGACGAGCGGTCACCGCCTCCCCGGGGAAGGTAGGGACCGTCTGGACCCCACAGTTCTTTCCCCCTCGGGGCCCGCAGCCTGGCAGGGTTTGGCACTAGCTCTTTCGCTGGGTTGGAAGGCCTAGAAGACCTCATCATACGTTAAAAGCAAAAATTAATCTTCTGCTCTGGGAAGAGGCTGGTGAAGCTTTGACTCGACGTGGCCTTTCTCTCGAAGTCACTACCTTCACGTATCCTGTGACCTCGTGGTGATCCACCCTCTTCCACATATAGACCTTAAACATCAGCAATTCATATCACTTTATTTATTAAAATTATGCAACATAAGCAACCCTAACGCAAATTTATGACCAAATACCAGAATGCAGTGGGAGATCCCCACATTGTGCCAGCACTTAAGGCGGCCGCTGATACCCCCCCCCCCCAACCCTACTCGAAAAAGCGGCTCTGTAGTGAGAGCGTGCACGTGGGACCTGAGACATTACAAAAGAATATGGACCAAGTCAAGAAACTGACTGACATTCAGCTCTGCCTTATTTGTGAATTGTGATGCCTTAATAACTATATGCCATTGTGTTTAAAGAATGGCAAATGTCTCCCTGGCCGGTTTGGCTCAGCGGTTGGAGCATCGGCCTGCGATACAGAGAGGCCTGGGTTCGGTTCCCGGTTGCAGTTTGTCCCCGGCCCTGGTTGGTTGTGCGGGTGGCAGCCACTCGATTCACATCGATGTTTCTCTCTCTCTCTCTTCCTCTCTCTCCCTCCCGCTCTATCTGAACAAAAAAAATGGAAAAATGTCCTCAGTTGAGGATTAAAAAAAAAAAAGAATGGCAAATGTCAGCAAAGAGTCGTTGGCCCATCTCTGTCCCAACGGATAGTAAATTCATTTATGCCAATTATTTCTAGAATATGTGAAAGCAATTATCAACTCAAGTAGAATTTCAGCATTTAAAGCAGGAAGAGCTGGTGACCATCCATCCATTCCATTCCACCTCCCATTTTAAAATAAGAAAACAGGAGGAAGAGATCTATCTGCTCCCCAGAATCCCTGCACCTTACCCCCTGCCCCAGGTACAATGCAGTTTATAATATGAAACATTGCTGCAATGGTAAATGGGATTGTTGTTTTAGTTTCTCTAATAAATTAATATAATATGAAACATTGTACTTCCTCTGATCTACTCAATAGTATCTTCACAAACCAGTAGAAAAAGTGGATGCTGTGTGTAATCATCTCCACCTTACCCCTGGATAATGATGGCATGGTAAAGTCCCTTGCCCAGACCACAGAGAAAGCTTGAGACAGACCCAGAAATAGAACACAGGTTTCCTTCCACACATCATGGGAAAGGCATATCATACTTATATGTTGTTGCAATGTTCAACCTTTCTACCCAATAATTAAGTTTGTGACAACTCCTGTTGAGGTATTCTTGCTTCTTGTATTAATACTTGTATTTACAACAGTTGCTGATAATTATAGATGTTTCTGTTTTAATGCATTGTGGAGGTAGGAGTATACTAGTTTAGAATGGGGCTGTTTCAAAATAATTCTGATTAAAAAGCAAGTTCAGGAATAGCCAGAGTACATCAGACCCTACATGGATCTAGGTTCAGATCCTGATTCTACCACTTACTAACTAGTGCCTTAGACATGGCATTCAGTCTCACTCCAACCTCAGTTTTATCAGCTTAAAAACTGAAGCTGATGATCTCTATTTCATAAATTATGAGGATTAACTAAAATAATGTAGTAAGGCACTTAGTACATGCTGCCACATGGAAATAAGTAGTGTAAGAGATTCAGTCTAGATACCACAATATCAATGAAGGGTAACAAAGTCAGAACAGGACAGAAAATTATAATGTTGCGGGGGGAGGGAAAACAGAGGGAGCAGGAGCCAAGGCTCAGAGAAATGACTGGACTGGAGATACAGCTATTGAGTGACTAGACCAGGACCCATGATTCTTAAGCCTGTACTAAATTCACTTCAATTCGATTCTACATGCAGTTAGAGAAGACCTATGTGGAAAGCACTAGCTAAATATTACAGAATTATAAAAGTGAGTAAGAAAAAGACAATGTAGAGGTTAGAATAAGGTAACTTCAATAACTATAATTCAAGATATTAAATATTAAGTTCCAGCAAAATGCTAATGGTACTTCTGGGGAGAGAGGCCTGCCTTCAGAAAAGCATGTATGCATATCATTTATTTACATAAATTCCTATTCAATAGTTAATAAAGATTTAGACAATTTTTTTAAATATGATCCATAGATTTAATAATAATAATATCATCTAACCAGAAATAGCCTTTAAAACTTTATGCCAATCTACCTAGTTTATCCAGATATAGTGATTCTCTTTATATTAATAAATGATGAAAAACTAATGCTGTGTTAATTTAGGTATCAGACACTTTCATGTCTTGAGTCAAATTCATAAAATTTCCTCACAAACAATGAATCTACTTTCACTAATATACTTATCCAACATCTAACCATAAAGCTGCAGGGCAGCTACCTTCACATCTGCAAAGTGTTCAGCTTAACCAAATTGCTGCTGGCCTGAGATGAACATAAAAGCCAACCCAGTCCCAAAGAGAAGCAAAATCATGGAAGTCAAGTGACAAATGTTACATACATATTTTATTTTGTGTTTACTCTTCAATTCTGCATATTTTAGGTAAAAACTTATGACCCTTAACTTAGTTGTATTTCTGTTTTACAGTTGATTGGTTCAATTGGTTGTGAAAACCCCAGGACATTCCAAGAATTAATTAGGATCCACCTGGCCTTTGTGCCTATCTGCAAATGAGCAGGTATGATCATGTGGACTATAATTGCAACTTTATCTAACAGCCTTCATGTGCACCATGAAATAAATGTATACTCCACATATGTGGAAATGGTATTATATTGCCCAACATCTTACCCTTATAGGAGTTTTTAAAATTTGGTCATACTTTGAAAATATCTCTGGGATATTTCATACATACATGTATTGAGTGCCTAGTCATAACTGTTATAGTTATGGTGAGGTTAACAATCTTGTATGGCTTGCCTCACACAAGTTCAGTGTCATAAGAGAATTGGATCACTATTCACCAAATAACTATAATTCACCTATGTTATACCAAGCACTGCACTGCAGGCTAGATATGTAAGTTCCTTCCTCAAGAGGTGCCCAGTCTGGCAAACATTTCAGATGTGAGTATGCAGCCACGAGAGTATAATAAGTACTTTGTATTAGGGATAGTGCTGGTATCCTGAGGAGGTATTCACTTCTGGAACAGAGAGGGAGAGAAGTAGAAGCAGACCATCTAGAGTAAAGTTGTCCAAGAGAAACGTTAAGCAAATCATATTGGTAACTTTCAGTCTTCTAATAACTACAGATGAAATTAATTTTAATAACATTTAATTTAACCCAATATAGGGTGGGGCAAACGTAAATTTATAGTTGTGATTATGTGAAACAGTTTATTCTTGTATTATTTATTATTGTATTATTTTCCTTACGAACAGTTGTAAAACTACTTTTGCCCAAGACTTTATATCCCAAATATTATCATTTCACCATGTAATAAACTTTTAAAAAATACTAATGAATATTTTTCATACATTTTTCTTATGAATTCTTTATGATCTTATGTTTAGTTTATACTTTTATCAGATATCAATTGGAACGAGTCCTCCATATTTATTCACTCATGTACATACTCATCAAAGACTCTATGTGAGCTCAATGGCTACTTGTGACAAGTGAATACCATACTGGACAGCACAGCTCTAGGACAGCAATTTTCTACCATTTCCATATCCTGGCACACATAAACTTATTACTAAAATTCTGCAGCACACAAAAAATATATTTTTAGCCGATCTGACAAAAAAGATTGGTAAATTTTGATTGATTTACCGAAGAAATAATAATACTAGTAATAGAATAGCTGTGTTGCCCGGCCAGCGTGGTTCAGTGGTTGAGCATCAGCCCATGCACCAAGAGGTTGCCAGTTCGATTCCTGGTCAGGGCACATGCCCAGGTTGAGGGCCAAAGCCCCAGTTGGGGGGGGGGGAGGGGGCGTATGCGGGAGGCCGCCAATCAATGTTCCTCTCATTGATGTTTCTCTCTCTCTCTCTCTCTCTCTCTCTGTCTCTGTCTCTCTTTAAAAAAAATCAATAAAGAAAAAAAAATTTTTTAATGGTATAGCTGTGTTTAGGATACAATACAAAGATAGAGGGAAATAAGAACCACACTAAGGCCCTAGCTGGTTTGGCTCAGCAGTTAGAGCATCAGCCTGCCGTCCAGAGATATCCAGGTTCGGTTCCCACTAAGGGCACGTACCTCAGTTGCAGTTTGTCCCCAGCCCTGGTTGGGTTGTGCGGGTGGCAACCACTCGATGTGTCCCTTTCACATCGATGTTTTTCTCTCTCTCTCTCTTCCTCTCTCTCCCTCCCACTCTATGGGAACAGAAAAAAAATGAAAAAATGTCCTCAGGTGAGGATAAAAATAAAAACCACACTCAGGCTGAGTAGAGCTGCTCTGTTGTGCAAGATTAAGCATACATCTGAAAGCAGTGGTTCTTCCAATGAAGCATGAGTTCATAT